CCAATCTGCAACGTCTCCGTGGAGCACTGTCAATTAATCTTTGCGCCCCCTCACGATATTTCTAACAAGGAAATTTCTTAACGATCAACACGTTTCCTATTGGAGTTTCTAAGTTTGTTTTGTTTTATTTATTTATTTATTTTTCTTTTGAAGAGAATGAAAGAATAAAGTAGTTTTTACTCTCGGTCCCGGACTGTCTGTCTGTCTGTGCGCTTCATTATGGCGAGTGCCTGCATCTCGCCGCCCCCCTTAATGAATGGATTTGCAGCAGGTGTGCGGAAAAGGGTTGCTGGAATAAAAGGAGTTTGAGGTTAAAATCAGTCCCCGGACCATCCCGGTCCACCTGGTGAACAGGTTCATTACAATCAGCTCAAAACCAAACCTGAACCCCACGCACCTGAATTACACATTTGGTCCTGATGAATCTTTGTTGGTCTGTGTGTTGCTGATGAATTACACCATTCACAGCCACACTGGTTGCTTCCAATCAAAGGAAGCAAATTTTCAAAGTAGCTAAGCGGCTTCCCTGATGGGAGACTTTCAAAATCTCTAAATGGACCAGAGATATTTGTTTTTCTTATTATTTCTGCGTGCATTAAAAAGAAAGAAAGAAAAAAAAACACAAGTCCAACTATTAAGAAAAGAAAGAAGACAATGCAATCCCAGAATTCCTTGCAGCCAAATCAATGCTCAGTTATTATTTTCAATCAGGCGTGATGATTACGGTCCAGCTTATTACGGTTAGTGACTGAAGTGTGAGGATGAGCAACTGACTTGTCTTCGTTTTGTGCCTTTTTATTGGTAATTAAGAAATATGTGATCTTATAATGTTAGGGTTTATAGCTTTATATTTCTTTTTCAACACGACAAATCAAATCATTGAACAAAGCACGATGTGGACTTTCTTTTTAGTGTATTATGGGCTGTATTGTGGTGCAGTCAGCCACTTATTGAGCTTTTGAAGTGGGTTTCTGAGAAAAGGTTTCACCTGATCTGTTGCAAATAGATCGTTGAATGACCTCAGCATGGAGAACAGAGTTTAATTCAGGCAAACAGTTCAGCTAAGTTGAGTTCCTAAAACAGCTCGAGTCTCAAATGTTGTATAAAACTTATTGCTCTCAGTTCATCTTTACGAGGTGTTTTAAAGGACACCAGCAGCTGGAGCACTTCTGATACAGATCAGGGTAAAACCAAGCGTTAAGTCCTGGTGCAGGGCCAGGCTCATGGCACAGGCAGAATAGGCAGATGCTAAGGGCGCCGTTCATCTAGGGGGCACCACGAACGGAGGATGAAAAAATATATTTTATAATCTTTATTAGAGCATAGTGGATTTAGCTTTGATGAGAGAACTTAAGTGTAAATTAACTATTTTAATTGGAAAATCTGGTTTCTAAAGACAAAAACATAACATCAAAGACAAAACTACAAACTGGTAGTAAGATTTAGAAAACTGCATGAGGGGGCCCCACTGAAATCCTGCCTAGGGTGCCAAATTGGCTAGGACCGGCCCTGAATGTGTCCTATTGAGAATAAAGTGGTGTTTGCAACGAAACACACAAAGGAGGACATTTTGAGAATATGTTGCTGGTCCCTATGGTTTCTTTGCTAATTATTTCTTTACTCATTTCGTTTAATTTTTTTTTTTTACCAATTTCCGTATAAATCTGTAGAAACAACAGCTACATTTCTTTCCCATAAAAACTATAAGATTCTGCTTCAATAACATCCTTATCTGTCTCTGAGAACATGTTTTGTTTTTCGGCAAAATTAACTTTTCTTTAATAGAAGCAGACAACTGTGGGCAGTGTGACTGCGGTGTAGAAATAGTAAAGAGCTAATTCGTATTGCCAGGTTTATGTAATGTTTAAACACACGGCTGCTTATTTTTTGTTTGAGGAAACTAATAGGCAGATATGCACTGTAAAGTTGCTGACTAACAGTAATTACCCAGGAGCTGTGCCTTCTGTGGCGCAGAATTACTCCCCGTTTCTGCAAACGTGGCCTTTGTTAATCTGCAGACGCGTTTCATCGGTAAAAATTACCGAAGCAAAAACAAACTAACTTTTTCTTTTAATTAAACAACCATCCCAACCATTTCTTCAATCAAAAATAACAACGTTGCAAGATTATTCGTTTGAATTTTCCATTTCAAGATGAGGCAGTTTGACAAAGGTGAGTTCAGCAGGGAGAAAACTTATAAAGTTTTACTCTCAAGTATTGAGGCAAAGGGAAAAAAATACATGTTTCTTTTATTTTTGCAAATCACTCTTGAGAAAAAGATACACTTTGACGCAAACAGAGTTACAAAGAAACAGAAAAATACCATTTTTGGCTGAATACATTTCTTACAAAAAACACAGTAATTCATATGTTTGTGCAAAGTACCTGAAGTGTTTCTCACCTCGTCTTTGGAAACAGGTGGATGAAATGTGCATTAAAGTGAAAAATGGGCAGAGAATGGTGCTCAAAGAGGAGCAGCACCGTCCTTGTTGACCTCCTGCTCTATCTTCTTGAAGTTTCCTTCTCGACGGCTGCCCTCTTCAAAGTCTCACAAAACTCCAAAAGCAACAATTCGAATTTTACATTGTTTCTACATCGTGGTTTCCTCCCATTCGAGTTCAACATCACCTAAAAACCAAACCCAAATGAATAATGTTTTTTTTTGTAACACCATATTTGTTTCGCTGAAGACGTGAGTTCATGTTGTTGTTTACCTTCCATGGCTTCCAGGGAGTCCATCTTCTCCAGAGCAGAATAGTTAACGAACCAGATGGACTGGCTGTTGCCTTTGTTGTTCAGAAGCTCCAGCGTGCTTTGGTGTAAGAAGATGTACTGGGCCTGATGGCACAAACACACACACACACACGCACACACACACACACACACACACGCACACACACACATTGTCATTTTAATGACTCAGGCCAGATGTTATTGAGCAGATGCTGAAAGCAAAATTCTCCACACAAAACCAGTGGGAGTGGGGAGGNAATCTGAATTCTTCTGGATTATATCTGATTAGGCTGCCTGATTTCGTTTCAAGTACACAAATCTGTCATTTGTATAAAATTCTAAACAAAGACTGTGTTTAAGGAACACCAAAGAGACAAAACTGTGACGTGCAACTCATCAATTTTTGTCCTAATCCTGTAAAGTTGCAACAAATTATACATCCTCTGATTATTTCTAAGGGGCGAAAAATCCCACTAATAAGTTTTACAACAAAGCTGAGAAGATTGATTCCTTGTGGATAAGAGAACACATCATTTTTCTTGCCAGAGTTTTAAATTGAAATCATATTACGAATGTTGTGAATTGCAGCCATTTTAGTCAAACGTAATTTTTGTGTAATACTACTACATCTGTAAAACTGACTAAGTTAAAGCCATTTTAGCATTTTTAAGGTCAAGCCTGTGACGGTGTTCACTTCAAAAGTTAATCCGTTGTACATCCACCGGTTATTTCCTGAAAGCTTCATTAATTCCAGTGGCTCATGGGATATTTTGGTAACAAAACAAAAACTATATCGCCTTCACCTTTTTTGCAGCTGGCGATAAAAAAAAGAGAGCAGGGAAAATCTGAAGTGAAACAAGTGCACACAATTATAATAAAAGACTGAGTGTCGTTAAATGATAAAACCTGCTTTCAATCACCAGTCCCAACGAGTTATACTGACCTGAGAAACGGCAAAATGCCTCCAAAGCTCAGGTTTAATATTCATAAAATTCCTGCTGTTTGTGTGTTTTTAAATGTCATCTGCAGACTGCAGCAGTGAAGGGAACTCTTGTTCAGTCTGCAGCTTCATTTAGTTTTTTGTATTAAAGAAGACATATCCTGCATTTACATCCTTCTTTTCCTCATTTAAATCATCCAGTTGGGGTCTATATAAAGTAAAACTGCAGTGATTTGGTCTGAGCTCCTCCTTATTGTAACTCCACAAGCCCCTCTTTCTGAGGTGTGTCTCAGATCAACTCGTTTTGAGGCTGTCTCTTTAAATCCAAAGTGTTTGTGGATTTTGAATGACACGTCCTCTTTAAACTTTAAAACCTGTTTACTAAACTTTGTTTCATCATTTATACTCAGTTGAAATACTTTTTTTTAAACACATTTGATAACGTGACAATCTCAGAACACATAGATGTCACCATTACTAAATAATAAAAAAACAACAACAATCATTTGTTTTCTTCCTCCAGTCTGTGGTAGTTATCCAATCATCAATACAGAGATGGGCTTGTTAGCTTGGTCTCCTGTGTGAACGCACCAGATTTTGCACCATGCACATCCTCTCGCTGCGAAGCTCAGCCACGAGCCCGTAAATGTCCACAAAGTCATGATCTCTGATGTGCTGAATGAGGTGATCCAGAGCGATGAACACACCCGTCCTTCCCACGCCGGCACTGAGAAAACACAGAGAAAATCATTACGCTGCCCGATGCTTCCAAAACATGCATTATCTACAGAGAAGGACAATACTGGCATACATGTAATGCTACTTTTATGTATTTAGTGTACTGTAAGCCCGAAGTCGTACCTGCAGTGGACAACTATAGTGGAGGTGTCCTGGCGGTGTGCTCGGACCGTTTTTACAAACTTAATCAAAGTGCTGCAGGACTCTGGGACGCCGTGCTCAGGCCACGATGTGAAGTTGAAGTGTTTGACCAGAATGTAGTGACCGTGCTGCAGAAATACACAACACACAGGACAGAAGATCATACCTTTTCTTTAATCTCAAAGATTAAACAAACTCAAATCCTGAGTTAAATTAACTTCATCCCTGATATTCAATCAAAAATAACTAAATGTTAATTGACAATGTCAATGATAAATATGTACTTTTTGTGTTATAGATGTAATTAATCCAATCATTTTTTCTTTTATTTAATATTTCTAATAATTGTAAAGTTTAAATTAATTGCAAATTAATTTTCTCATCTTAATGTTTGAGTCTAAATTGGAGAATTCTGTTTTCTTCCTGCTTTTAAGCTGTGGAATAAGATTCACTATTTAAAACATTATGTAACTTTGACCTTTCAAGATATTTATAGACAATGTTGTAAGTTGTTTGCATGAACAAACATGTTCCCAGCCTCAGACATTTCAGAAATTCACTGTGCAGACCTCTTTATAAAGTCACGTGTTCCTCTTTCTGCACTTTTGTTTAGTTTTGTAACAAAACAAAGAGGTTGTGGAGTCTCACTATGCCTTGTATTTAATGTATCAAATACTGAAAGTCTCTGGCGGTTGCTGTATGAACCAGATTTTTTTTAAACATTCACATATTTTATAGATCTTTTATAGTATTTTATTAAACTAATAACACTACCTGTGCTCTTTTAGATCTGCCAGTTAGAGCTGACTGAAAATCATCTGTTAACAGAAACTGATTTAAAATTACAGTGGTTTGCAAAAGTATTCATACCCCTTGAACTTTTCCATATTTTGTCACATTACAACCACAAACATAAATATATTTCACTGGAATTTAATGTGAAAGACCAACACAAAGTGGTATACAATTGTGAAGTGGAAGCAAAATTTTACATGAATCAAAACATTTTTTACAAATAAAAAACTGAAAAGTGCGACGTGCAAAAGTATTCAGCCCCCTTTTCCCTGAGTGCAACCAATTGCATTCAGAAGTTGCCTGATGACTGCTAATGACTCAAAAGGGTCCACCTGTGTGTAATCTAATCTCAGTACAAATACAGCTGCTCCGTGACGGCCTCAGATGTTGGTTAAGAGAATATTGGGGAGCAAACAGCATCATGAAGTCCAAAGAACACACCAGACAGGTTAGGAATATGGTTTTGGAGAAGTTTAAAGCAGGCTTAGGTTATAAAAAGATTTCCCAAGCTTTGAACATCTCACGGAGCACTGTTCAATCCATCATCCGGAAATGGAAAGAGTATGGCACCACAGTAAACCTGCCAAGACAAGGCCGTCCACCTAAACTTACAGGCCGAACAAGGAGATCACTGATCAGAGAGGCAGCCAAGAGGCCCATGGTGACTCTGGATGAAATGCAGAGAGCCACAGCTCAGGTGGGGGAAACTGTCCACAGGACAACAATTAGTCGTGCACTACACAAATGTGGTCTTTATGGAAGAGTGGCAAGGAGAAAGCCATTGTTAAAAGAAAACCATAAGAAGTCCCGTTTGCAGTTTGCCAGAAGCCATGTTGAGGACACAGCAAACATGTGGAAGAAGGTGCTTTGGTCAGACGAGACCAAAATTGAACTTTTTGGCCACAATGCAAAACGCTATGTGTGGCGAAGAAAGAACACTGCACATCACTCTGAAAACACCATCCCCTCTGTCAAATATGGTGGTGGCAGCATCATGCTCTGGGGGTGCTTCTCTTCAGCAGGGACCGGGAAGTTGGTCAAAGTTGATGGGAAGATGGATGGAGCCAAATACAGGGCAATCTTGGAAGAAAACCTGTTGGAGTCAGCAAAAGATTTGAGACTGGGGCGGAGGTTCACCTTCCAGCAGGACAACGACCCTAAACATAAAGCCAAAGCTACAATGGAGTGGTTTTAAAAAAAGAATATTCATGTGTTAGAATGGCCCAGTCAAAGTCCAGACCTAAACCCAATTGAGAATTTGTGGCAAGATCTCAAAACTGCTGTTCACAAACGCTCTCCATCCAATCTGACTGAGCTTGAGCTGTTTTGCAAGGAGGAATGGGCAAGAATTGCAGTCACTAGATGTGCAAAGCTGGTGGAGACATACCCTAAAAGACTTGCAGCTGTAATTGCAGCAAAAGGTGGCTCCACAAAGTATTGACTCAGGGGGGCTGAATAATTTTGCACATCGCACTTTTCAGTTTTTTATTTGTAAAAAATGTTTTGATTCATGTAAAATTTTGCTTCCACTTCACAATTGTATACCACTTTGTGTTGGTCTTTCACATTAAATTCCAGTGAAATATATTTATGTTTGTGGTTGTAATGTGACAAAATATGGAAAAGTTCAAGGGGTATGAATACTTTTGCAAACCACTGTATGTCCTGCTGCTGAATTAGGATAAAACTGAAAGTATAGCTTACTTTCTCAAATTTTCTTTGACATCGAGCAAAAACTTTCCCTTTTCTTCTTGGCTAAAGTTAATTTTGTCATCCAAACATAAACTATTGTAATTTCTTTGCTTTTAAATTTACTATTTGTAGAAGTTCAAACTGTCTTAAAGTCTGTTGTTAAACTCATAAACTTTTATAACCTCAAAAAGTTGATTTTAAAGACTGTTTAACAACTTTAAAAGAGATATGTGTGACTTGCAATATTTAAAATGATAAATAAAAAATAATCCAACTCCCTCTATTAAAAAAGAAACTAAAGGTGGGTTCATAATGAAAAAAATGTGTCAAATAAATCCGCTGTTAGCCCCTATTTGAGTGCTGAGAAAAATAAAAACCTGCATTCTGCAATTTAAAGAAATTTTCACTGGTAAATTTGGATTTATTGACTTTTCGATGCTACTATAATTATTGCATTATTTAAACAAACAGTTAGCTTTTCTCCAGCAGGTCTTTGGATTTTAAATGTGTACATTTGCACATTTCAAGTACTTGTATGAGAAAATTTTAGTACCTTTTCTATTTTGAGGGTTCTGATGGTCCAGTCAGGGAGGACTTCCTCCGACACTTTGGAGATGAGAAAGTCACTGAACACAGTCACCGGCTTGTTGTCTTCAGGCCAGTACTTGTGACACCGAATCTGTAAAGTGACCAGAACAGGTGAGCGCGTTTTGAAAACTAAGCTCAAAAAACACACTGTGAGTTTTTTAATAAAAGACCTGATCATGGGATAAAACTGGGAATGACTCACTTTGCCTTTTTCATAACACTGCGTGAGCATGGCGATGGTGCGGGTCCCCGTCTCCCAGATCATCCTCCAAAAGTCCGCCACGGTGCTGGGCAGAGGACCCTGAGTGGCTATGAACTCGTTGGGACACAGATAACCCTGCAGAGAGGAAAACAAGAACACGCCGAGGCTCGCGTGCAACCCAGGAAGCAATGAGAACATCGCTCCGGTTTCAGGAGGCGGGTTACTCACAGAGACGAAGCTGGCGTTGATGTAGTCTGAGCCCGCCACGCCGGGTTCTGACAGCAGCTTCACTCKGKWGKYAKTGKC